GGCTTTCTTCTTAGGCCGTCTTGGGTCCCCCAGGGCTGCCCCCGACTGCGCCAGCCAGGCGCAGATCAAGCTATGCTGGCCAGTTTTCCCGTGCGCACTGGAAGTGGTTGAACACACCCAAACGTCAGAGGCACCCGGACAGACCCCTAGCAAACCGACCCGTTCCGCGTCGACCCCCTCGCCTCGCTCCAAGGAGTGGTCAAGCGACCGGACGGGGGCTTCGGTGTTGAGGAGGTCGTGGCGGAAAGTGCTCCTCACGCAAGGGCTCGCCCAGGTCGCGCACGAGAAGACCTCGAGCATGTGCTCTCCCTGGGTCGTCCCCCGTCGTCGTTGTCTCGGGTGTCTGAAGGCCGCCAGAAATCGCCGAAGACCGTTGGGCGACCGTCATACAGTCGGGGCCCTGAAGAAGGAACCCTTTTCGTTGGGGAGGGGCTCCGTGTTCCTTGATTGTTTCGCAGCTTGCCTTGGATTTTCCCTAGATTTTCGATACGAAATCGAAGTTCAACTTATGGAAAATAGGGGCCTCGTTCCTCATTTAGGGTTCCTCAGGTCAACGCCTCGACGGTAAGACCACCGAAGACCGCCGAAGGCCAAGTGAGCGACGGACGAAGGAGGGGGTCGACTGCGCGGACGTCCGCGCGCAGGGCTGCCGCGTATAGGTCGCGCGTGCGCGCCCCCCGTCTGCGCGCGGTGTGCCACGCGGGCGGCCCGCGCAGTCCGCGGCGTGGGGCTGCTGCGCCGTCTCGCGCAAGGCCCCTCTTTGATATCTTCGTCCGATTGGGGACCGAAGGGCCCGTGGTCGAGCACGCAGGTTGTCTTGGCATCGCTCGGACGTGTGCATTTTTTGCCATCGGCGAGGACCATCGAGGAGCGTCCTTGACCACTTGGCGAAGAAACCGCGCACGAGACCGAAAAAAGCGCAACAGGGAATGGACGTCCGAGCGATGGCCAGTTGCCGCCGCCGCCGCCGTCGTCTTTCCGTCAAAAGGTGCAGGGGCCCTCGGGAGGAGCGAGGAGCGCTGGCGGCGAGCAGTAGTGAGGAGGAGGAGGAGGAGGAGGAGGAAGAGGAGGAGGGGGAGGAGGAGGAGGAGGAGGAGGAGGAGGAGGAGAGGGGCCGTTCCCGGGCGGGGCGGGGACGAGGCGAACATGTCGGCGGGCCACAAGTGCCCGGACAACGAGGAGGACGTCGCGCCCCTGCTCCTCGCGCCCGGCGGCTCGGCCCTCCTCCTCCACTCGTCGGTCGTGGTGGCCGTCGTGGTCGTCGTCGCATGTGGTCGACGTCGTCGTCGTGGTGGTTGTCGTCGTGGTCGTGGTCGTTGTCGTGAGTGGTCGTCGTCGTCGTCGTGGTGCTGGTCGTCATGGTTGTGGTCGTCGTGGTCGTCGTCGTCGTCGTGGTGGTCGTCGTCGTCGTGGTGGTCGTCTTCGTCGTAGTCGTCATCGTGGGTCGTCGACGTCGTCGTCGTGGTGGTAGTCATCGTGGTTGTGGTTGTCGTGGTGGTGGTCGTCGTTGTGGTTGTTGTCGGCGTGGGTCGTCGTCGTCGGCGGAGACTATCGATTGGAAGTGGAAGGGGGTCCTCGATTTCGGCCCCTTAGCCATCAAAATCGCCTCTTGTCACCGCCGCAATTCCTGCAGTGCAATCGCCCAAGGTTGATCCAGATGACCCCAACTTTGCCCCATGATTCCCAAACAAGTCCGCCGATGGCACGAAGAAGGGTTTACGAAGCCCCAAACAGCGCACGAGGTTTCCATAGCTACCCTGAAGTTGTGCAAGACCATTCGGCCGAACGCGCGTTACTGCCACGGGCTCCCCCGAAACCGCATCTCGTGTCACTGCATCTGACTCCACCCATGCTTCGTCTAGAACATGCATCTGGCTCCACCCACATATATACATATATATATATATATATATATATGTGTGTGTGTCTGTGCATGTACATGCGCATGCAACAATATATGTGTATGTGCAGGCAGTTTCGCACTGCTGTATATAGGTGTGCGAATGTATGTATGTATGTGTATATATATATATATGTATATGTGTGTGTGTTTGCGTGCGTGTGTGTGTTTGCGTGCGTGGGTACAGGCTGGAGCTGCCCTGCCAGGTGATTCGACTCTCCGTGGCTGCGACATGCTTCCGGGGGAGCTTCCCGACGGCCCAAAGGAGTCCCAGGCGGCCCCGAAACGGGCCAGCAGGGCCCCGGGATGCCCCCATGAAGACCGAAGGATGTCGTGCATTGCGTCCAGAGGTGGCCCTTCAGACTTCCCCGAAGCCCCACACGGCTCCTAAATTTCCAAGAAGGTCCCGAGAAACAACATGTCTTGTTTCCCTTGGTGTTGACCGATTTGTGCGTTTCCGTGTTTGCGGCCTCCCGACGAGCCCTAAGGCCCCCAAGAGAGAGGCCCCAGGGGCCCTCCGTAGCCTTTGTGGCCCAAGATTGTTGGACTCGAGAGCGTCCTTCTTGCGCCACGCCTGGGCTAACTGGCTTCGGGCAATGGCTCCCACATCATGCGCAAGCTTTATGTGCCTGGGCACAAGATGGGCCCCAGAGCGGGAGCGGGAGGCCCCAGGGCGCTCCAGGACGGCCGAGATGATTCCAACGTGGCCCAAGAGGAGCTCCAGACGGCAATCACACAGCCCAAAAGGCCTCCAAGAGAGCCCAAGAGAGCTTCGAGAGACGTCCCGAGAGAGCCCAAAGAGGCCCAAATCATTGATTAGCATTGGTTTGTTCGATGTTTTTTTCCTTCTCGTGTTCTCGAGTTTCCAATGCTCGAAGACGGCCGCAGACGCCCCCGAGACCGCCTCGAGACCGCCGAAGAGGCCCCCAAAAGAGGCCCAAGACATCCCCAGGGAACCCGAAAATAGTCCAGGAGGAGCTTCAGACGGCCCAAGAGAACCCCAGGACATGCCCAAGCTGGGCCGCAGAGCGGGAGCGGGAGGCCCCAGGCGGCCCAGATGGCCCGGGCCTCCCCCCTCCGTCCCTCCTTCCCTCCCGCCCCCCCCTTGCAGCCATTCCCTCCTCTCTCCTCCCCTCACCCATCAGCTTTCGTGCTCCTCCCTCCTCTCCTGGGACGGCCCCGCCAGAGCGCCAGACAGGCCCCGCCAGAGCGAGCGGGGCACCGCTATACCCTATAATTTCAAGAGTTGCCTTGCTCCCCCAACCGCGCCCGACGGCGCCCCGTCAGAGCGCACGGGGTGTGGCTATACCATTATTTTCATTAGGTTTCGTGCTCCTCCCTCCCCTCATGGACAAGCCCCGCCAGAGCGCCAAGGAAACCCCTGCCAGAGAGAGAGAGAGAGAGAGAGCAGGGCATCCCTACACCATACAATTTCACGCGATTCTTGCTGCTCACACCCTTGCAGGGCGGACCCGCCCAAGCTAGCGGTGTGTGGCTATACTATGCAATGTACCAGATTTTGTTCCCCTCCCTCACCTCCCGAAAGGCCTCGCCAGAGCGCCAAGAAGGTACCGCCAGATGCCCCGTCAGAGCTCCAGGCAACCCCAATTCATGGGACGTGCCAGGCAAATCATTGAGCATCCCCCTGAGCCCGAACCTTTGGATTCCACGGGTGCGATGATCGCCAGCATGAGGTTTGGCGCCCAGCAGAAGGAAGCTCCCCCCTTCCCCTGGACGGCCTCGACAACAACTAGTTGCAGAGAAGGGCGCTGGTGACCTGGATATCTGCGCGCGCCCTCTGCAGATACCCGGCAACTGAACGACCGTTGAAAACGAGAAGTTTGGAGCACGGGAACAAACAAAGACAACGCGCTCCCACGCGCGCGCAACGAGACCCCGAGCCAACCCCAACATAAGGAGCAGGTGGATGTGTGCGTGATCGGGCATGGGGAAAACGAGCAGATGTGCAAAAAAACAGTACGTGACACGACTGGGCCGAGCGGAAGTGAATGTGGAGAAACAAGCGCAGTTCTATACACCAGACGAAGGCGACAGCGAGATTGTGAGATACGCGGGAACGTGGCGCCCCACGTTCTGACTACGCGTTTCTTTGCGTCGATGACATGAACCCGAGAACGCTAGAAATCGTCGTTGTGGCCACAGCGGGGCTTACGGCGGCACCCGTGGCGCATCTGCGACTGCAACCTAAGCGCGCGCGTCGCGCGTGCGTGGTTCTAGTAGGTATGCATACAGGTGCATGTACATATATATATATGTATGTATGTATATATACATATATATATATATATATATATATGCGTACACGTGTTTGTTATGTATGTGTATATGAAGTTGTGGACGCATGCATGTACACATATATATAAATACATAGGTATATAATTATAGCTATATATATAAATATGTTTGCGTGTCGGTTTGTAGATAAGTTGTTGGCATGTATGTTTGCATGCGTGCACTTGTGTATGTATGTACGTACATACGTGCGCATTTATGTATGGATGCATTTTTTTATATGTGGACCTATGACCACGCGCTGCGAACACGGTCTGGGGCACGATCCACATGTTCGACGTTCGCGTGGACAGCAGGCTTGCTTTTTGTTTGCACGTTGCACGTTTCAAGGCCGACCTGTTTTCAGGCACGGGGGCGTTGCATGGGCGACGTGTGCGGAAAATGCAGTGAACCCGCATAAAAACGACGGGCAACCTCCTCACGGGTACCTTTGCATCCTTGCACTTTCGGCCCATCCTTGGCGAATTTCGCTGGCCAACCTCGGACGAAACACGTTAGCATGGCCCTCCAAAGTGAGCGTTTTCTTATCCACTGTTTTACCGATGGGCGCGGGACCTCGCACCCCACCTCCCCCCCCCCCCTTTGGAGTAGATCGTGGCTACTTCTGGCGCCTGTTTCGAGCACGTGCGGTCTCCCCCCTAGATCGCACTCTTGCAAACATCCGCATTAAGCAGAGGTCCGGAGCCACTCTATCCCCTTCCCCCCCTTGTGCCCAATGTCGAAACGCCGAATCAGAAAACGCTCGCCAAGGCCCTTGCATCCTAACCGCGCGTTCTTCTGATACGGGCCGACTGTATTCTGCATTCGACATTCGCATTGCAGCCGCATGTCGGACGCGGAAATCCTACCTTGGGCGGGGCGGCGCATTCTGAAGAGTATTGAGAAGGCGTCACGGCTGGTGCCGCCGGCCCTGAAGACGACGAGAGGAAGAGGAGGAGGAGGAGGAGGAGGAGGAGGAGAAGGAGGAGGAGGAGGACGAGGACGAAAAGGAGGAGGAGGAGGAGGAGGAGGAAGAGGAGGGCCCTTCGGGGGCCTCCGGAGAGCTTCCTGGGGCCGAGAGCTCCAGATGCCCGCTTCGGTCGTCCGTCTAGGCGGCACCCTGGGGGCCTTTTGGGGCACTCTGGGCTCGGAGGGGTACTCTCTCAGCTCGGCAAGTCGTTTTCTTCCACGGCATCTTGCAAAGGGCCAACGACCACTTGGGAAAGAGGGCTACGTTCTGCCACGGCGCGAACGAGGTTGTGGCCCCAAGCGGGGAACGAACGAGAAGCATGCTCCGACATGGGTGGTGAACACGCACGCGAAGATAGTCTGCGAACGTGTGCGGATCTCGCCTGAAGTCCGCATTCGCAGTCACCCGGCAGATGGCACGCAGCGGTGCCGGAGTACAGCGTTGCTTGAGTTATTGCGGACTCGTTTTTTCCTCGTACTCGTCCTCGTCCTTTTCGTTCTTGTCCTGTTCCCTCTCCAATGTCTAGGTTTGACAATATTTGTGGCCAGTTCGCCTTCTGGATCGAATCTGGCTTCAGAAGGGCTTCAGGTTGTTCCAATACCGCCCCAACGGCTCCAAAGACCACCCAGAAATGCTCAAGCAGGACTTCAAGATGCCTCCAAGCTGGCAAGCATGTGAAACATAATTATCCATTTCACCACAGGTCCATCCCCCCATCCCCCTTTTCTTCTTCCTCATCTCTCCTGCTCATCCCTCCATCGTCTTCGGTTTCTCCTCAAATCTGCTGGCCTCGCAACCTCCTCGTCCTCGTCGTCCTCCCCTTCCCTTCCTCTCCCCCTCTCCCTGTAATACACGGGAGGGACAGACATGCATGTAGAGGGAACAGACATGCATGTAGAGGGACCAAAGCAAAAACGCCCACACACTTATATTTGTGCTGTTGTCGTCGACGCACCGCCGCAACCGTCGCCTTTGCTGTCGTCGTCCGGGGGAGGAGGAGGATGAGGAGGAGGATGATGAGGAGGAGGAGGAGAAGGGAGGAGGAGAAGGGATGAGGAGGAGTATGGAGGAGGGAGGAGGGAGGAGGAGGTGGAGGAGGCAGGGGTGCAGGAGGACGAGGGCAATCCAGTGCCGTTTTTAATACATGCTCCGCGTGCGGATCATGTATTAAACATGCAGGGATTTAGTATTAAAAACAACGATGAGTTCATGCATACATTTTTCATGAATTGACCATGTATATATATATATATAAACATGTTTTAAACATCCCGTGTATTGAAAACTGCCCTGTATGGAGGAGGTAGGCGGAAGGATGAGGGAAAAGGGAGGAGGGAACATCACCAGAGGAGAGCGGTGATATGAAAGAACAAGGATGGGGCGACTGGAAGGGAGAGGGGGGAGAGTTGAGGAGGAGGGAAAGAGGAAGGAGGGAGGGAGAAAGAGGAGGGAGAGAGAAGATGAGGAGGAGGAGGAACAGGAGGAGGGGGAAGAGGAGGAGGAGGAGGAGTTGGAGGACCATTGCAAGCACAAGACAGCATCAACGATGTTGTACTAGACCCTCGCTCCAATTTCTCTCTTCAGAGGCCCCGCTGCGAGACAACCGATTGAAATTCCGCAGCTGTGCCATATCCGGAGTCTTGTGATTGATGCGTCTTGACAATTCTACATCGTGCCTGAATTCTTTTTCCTGGGGCCTCGCGAACCAACGTGACTGTTGGGTCCAAATCGCTCAAGATCGTGCCAGAACACTGTTCCTGAGACTTCACAACCATGCGGGCCCTTGCAATTGCTGCAAACGTTGCAGACGAATGTGCTCGGCACTACGGCGAAAGCCACATTCTGAAGACTGGCCGCCCTCCATCCTTGAAGCTATTGCAATTTTTGGGGGGAGTCTCTGGCGAAGCGGCCGGTCCGCTCTGCCGACTCATCTGGGGGTGCGACGGGCACCAGGGAGGAGACATTTGCAGGGAGAAGGGACGAAGGAGGAGGATGAGGAGGCAGGAATGAGGAAGGATGACGGAATAGGAGGGGGGGGAGGGGAGGAGGAGGAGGAGGAGGAGGAGGAGGGAGGAGGAGGAGGGAGGGAGGAGGAGGAGGAGGGGGCGGAGGCGGAGGAGGAGGAGGAGGGGAGGAGGAGGAGGAGGAGGAGGAGGAGGAGGTGAGGAGGAGGAGGGAGGAGGAGGAGGAGGAGGAGAGGAGGAGGAGGAGGAGAGGAGGAGGAGGAGGAGGAGGAGGAGGAGGAGGGGGGGGGGGGGAGGAGGAGGAGGAGGAGGAGGAGGAGGGGAGGAGGATCAGGAGCAGGAGCGGAGGAGGAGGAGGAGGAGGAGGAGCAGGAGGCAGGAGGAGCAGGAGGATGGGGAGGAGGAGGAGGAGGAGGAGGGAGGGAGGGAGGAGGGAGGGGGAGGGAGGGGAGGAGGGAGGGAGGGCGGGAGGGAGGGAGGGAGGGAGGGAGGGAGGGGAGGGAGGGGAAGGAGGAGGGGGAGGGAGGGAGGGAGGGAGGGGAGGGAGGGAGGAGGGAGGGAGGGAGGGAGGGAGGGGAGGGGAGGGGAGGGAGGGAGGGGAGGGAGGGAGATGCAGGAGGAGGAGGAGGAGGAGGAGGTAGGAGGAGGAGGAGGAGGAGGAAGGAGGGAGGAGGGAAGGAGGGAGAGAGGGGCGGGGGCAAGAATGAGGAAGGATGGCGGCACAGGAGGCGGGAGGCACCCCCGAGAGGACCATGCCGGCCTCTGCTACACCAAGTGCTCCCAGCTGGTCGGGGAAGGCGTTTTCGGCTGTCTGCGGCTCTGACCCACGCCCCCCCCGCTCTTCCTTCCGCTCTCCCTCCCCCTTCTCCCTCCCTCTCTCCCCCACTCATTCCCTCCCTCTCTCCTTCTTCCTCCTTCTCTCCCTCCCTCCCTCCTCCCTCCTCCTTCCCTCCTCCTCCTCCTCCTCCTCCTCCTTGCTCCTCCCCTCCCTCCTCTTCCTCACCTCCCCCCTCCCTCCTCCATCCTAGCCTCCTCTAGACTGGGTGAGGGGGGAGATGGGGAGGAACAGGTGCGCTCGCGTCGTATCCGACATCCTACCCCTCCCGCCCATCTTTTTTCGTGGGGCGGATTTCTCCCCTGTCCGATGACGCTTGCCGTAGCGGGCCTGGAGTTCCAAAAATGACCGAATCGCGTCAACTTCCAAAAAGGACCTAATCGCGTCATGGGCAATCGGACAACGGGACACGGGAGGAGGCGGCGGATGAGCAGGAGGAAAGAGAGGATGAGGAAGGAGGAGGACAAGGACGAACAGCAACGGCAGGAGTTTGAGTATACGGAGCGGGAGGAACATGAGGACCAGGGGAAGGCGGAGGAGTGTAAAGAAGGGGGCGACAACGATGATGACATAATCCTATCACGATAATAGTGGTCCGCGCTGGGGCTAGAGCGCCCGCCGTTCGTAACGATGGAGGCTAAGCGCCGATCCTTCAACGAGGCCTACGCGCAGCAGCACATTTTTGAGACACCGAGAGCGTTCCCGATGAAAGAGGGACGAAAAGCACTCTTTTCACATCTTTTGCATAACAGTGTGCCGGATAAGGCGGAGAAGGAGGAGGAATATGTAGCCATTTTGGTTCATGGCTAAACCTAGTGAAGGTCCGAGGATTTGGGAATCTGGGATTAGCTTTGGCCCCATCCGTCGCTGTAACTCGAGCAGGGTGGGTGCCGTCCTGCCCGCCTCTGTATTCAGCTCGGCCATTTCCCATCCAGCTGTCCAGTCGCTTTTCCCTGTGGGTACCAACCCTTGTGTTGGCGAGATGTATCAAGACATGGGCAGCAGATGGTGGCGACCCCCTCACGTGCTGGACTTCCTCTCAGCACTGAAGAGCGCGCTCGATTGGCAGATGAGTTGGAGCATGCGCCGACATTCCCGAACAGCGAGTTCCACTCACCGCCGAAAGCCCCCAGGGCCAAGATCCTCAAGGGCGAGACGGAGTCCATCAAGTGTGACATGGGCAATCTTCGCTTTGATCTGGATCTGTTCAAGGCCGAGATTTTTCAGAACATGGCGTTCGTCCTCGAGAGTGTCACCATTGTCTCTCACAGCGTCAACGAAACTATGGTCAGTCTCAAAAACTCCGCCACCTCCTCCTACAGGTCCATGCACCAGCAGGTGGACAAGCGGATCTCAGTCGTTGAGCTCATACAGCGCGCAAGATGATAGAGTAGCCAGTCTTGAACATCGCGAGCTTGGAGTTGTCAAGAAGGGGTTCCCGCCCGCCAATGTGCACGCGCCAGGTGGTTCGTTCGATCGCGAGATCGACCAGCGCCTCGTCATCATTCGTTCTCAGCTTCTCGCCGCGGCCGTCGCGGTCGCAGACAGCGTTCGCCCATAGTTGGAGGATTCGAATCTGACAGAGGACGATTGGGTTGTGGAGGGCGAACCGACGAGCAATGCGCGCGCCATCCGCGTCACCGGCGGCGCAGGTCTGGCCGCGCGCAGAGCGTCGCAGGCGCTCGGGAAGCTGCCCGCGAGACGTGCTGATTTGGAAACGCCGCAGTCATGTGGAGACGCTTCACGGCCAGGTCGACCACGGGTGAGCCGAGTGATATTTTTGTTGGGCCAGAGAAAAATGCTCGCGCACTTGGGGGAGGAGACATCCTGCCAGGCCATTCGGGGAGCCCCGGAGGAGATTTTCCCCGCGCGTCGTTCTTCATGGACAATTTCAATGGAGAGGCGTCGACCAATTCGCGGCCGTTGGTCAAGATCACGCCACTCGAGGGAGCTGAGCAGCCGCAGCTCGAATAGACCGCCACGTCTCTCGTGCTCGCAGGGATCGGCCAGGCAGAAATTGCCCCCGTCCTCGGTCGCGCCCTTCAGGGGCCAGCGCCGACCGCGTGGCGTTCCGAACCTCTTCAGTGCCCTGTGGCATGGTGTCTCGCCCTCCTCCCTGGCCTCGTTCCGAGTTGTCACTTGGAACGCCCGCGCTCTCTTCCACCGCGATCCCGCTGTCAGAGTTCGGAAGGTTTTTTTTTGTTTCTCCCTCTCTCTCTCTCTTCCCCCTTTTCCTCTTGCGGCGTCTTCTCGCTCGCGGCAGCATCGTCGCGATCCGAGAGACTCGCGGCTATTAAGCTGAGCTGAATGATCTCCATCTTCACCACCTCCGCCTCCAATTTCAGGCCTCTTTCTCCTTTCACCCTAATTCGATGGCTTGCGGCGCTGTCGCCCTCTGCCCGCGCGTTCTAGCGTCCGTGGGGCGGAGGCGCAGGGCTGGGCATGAGCTGCCGACTATCGCCCCCGCCCCCCTCCTAGAAGGGCGAACGCTCCTAACGACGTTCAGCGGCTTACTGGGTCAAACACTGCAACGTTTGCAAGTTTGGACTGGCTCGTGATGGTAAACGTGCGCTTCTCAATCAGATTCGGAGCGGCTTAGAGGCCGCTCAGAGTGACCCGATGTCCTTCCTGGTCTTCGTCTCTGGGGATTTCAACCTTCCCGCTTGCGCCCCGACCCCGCTTGGCCCCGACCCCGACTTCGTGAAAGAGCCCGCTGAGATCGAAGCCTGTCTTCTCCTTCGCAAGTGGCGAATTGTATTCGAGCGCGCTGTAGAGTTCGAACTGTCCACCCCCGCTCACTTCAATGCAGGGTCTAGTAGCCTGTCGTTCATTGACAGGGCTTTCCCCTCGCTGCCTGACTGGGTCCCCCCGCAAAGCTCGACCGGGGGAGGGGTCGCGGACCGGCCCGAACTCTTTAGCGGCCGTGCAGGTATCAGATCATGCTGCAGTTGTCGTTGCCCCCCGCCTCCGAGAAGAGCCGTCAGTCGGCGAGAGGCCGGTGCCCGAGGGGATCTTTAGCGCGCCAGAGTTCGCGAAGATCTTCGGGGTGTCTGCGGAGGCCGCGGACCACAGCCACCTCTCCCCATTCCTTCGGCTCCCTTACTTCGGGATGCTGATGCTCGAAAGTGCCAAACATGCTCGCGGCGCCATTAGCCTTCGTCGCCCTGACACCCCTCTGGCGCGATATCCGATGGCGCGGGGCATGGCCCGCGCGGTTTTCGGCGACGGTTGCAGCTGGCCCCCCGTCTCCATCGCCCCCATCCTCTTTGTCGTGAACACCTCCACCTCGGTCATGAACATCGCGAGGTCGCCCTCATCTCGCCTACCCTCTTCGCCCAGCTCCAACTCCCTGCGCGGCGAAGTTGCCGGAGCGTCGGGGGCCTCTGTCCAAGCCCGCGCTCGGCAGCTCACTGATCAAGCCAAGATCAGTCGAATGCTGCGCCGCCAGCGGCGCGCGCCGAGGATGGCCCAGCCCTGGTCTCCTTTCGATAGGAGAGCCCCGCTTGCTGGAATCAGAGCGGCTCGCCGATCGACCGCCCAGGCCCCCGAGGAAATCTCGGGGGCTTTTGCCTCGCATTGGGGCCCCGCTTTCGCGGCGAAACCGCTTGCCGACGCGGCCGATCGCTTCCTGGATTCTTCCCCCCCCCCCCCGCCTTGGTCGCTCCAACTTCCCCCCCCCGCCCTTCCCCAATTCGCCGCCTTCGTCGAGCGTCTCCAGCGCTACGCGCCAGGCCCTGGCAGGCCCCCTCTGCGCTGCGTGGCAGCGCGCTCCAGGGGGCGCCCAGGTCTTCTGCGGGGCTGCATGCGCTCGCGCTTCACGCGCTGCTGTCCCCAGCCTGGTTTTCACCGGGTGCTGGGTGTCGTGTTCTTATCCTAGAAGTATGATGTTCCGACCTACTTTGGCCTTGACCACCAGCAAGAATTTCGAGCGCCAGGAAAGCACGGGGGTGTTCACGTGTCGGGGGCCCTGGGGGGGACACTCGCCCGACATTGTTTCGACACTATTTCGACACTCTTTCGACACTTTTCCGGGTGCTCGAAATTATTTCTGGGATGTGGTCTTTAAGTACGATGGGAACAACATTATCCCAAAAGGAGATGGGGAGGAGGATTCTGCCGCCGTGGTGAACAGACACTCGTCGGCCACGCGCCCGTTCGGCTTGAGAAACTGCGACGACAAGATTATCGTGGTCATGGCCATCCGCCCCCTGGCCCATGCTCTCCACCATGGCATAGCTGTCGCGCGACGGGGGTTCGTTCCGTCTTTGGCAGCGACATTGTCGAGCTTGGTTCCGTCGCCCGTGTCGCTGGCATGGGGCCTGGTGTCGAGCGCCGCCGTCGAGCTCTGGTGAGCTGCGACTTTGGCCAGGCCTTCCCTTCTATGTCTCAAGGGTGGACGATCCAGATTCTGAAACGCAAGAAGGTCCCTCCTCCCCTTGTGACTCCGGTGAAGCTGCTGCATCGGCGTGTTGCTTGCGTCGGATGTTCGGGCGGCCCCCATCGCCTCCTTTACTTTACTTCGTCGCAAATTTACCAGCCTGGAACATATCCCTATCCCTATGCTGGGCACCTCCTCATCACGATGCCAATCTTAGGGATTCCCTTATTTTTTGAGGGCGAATCCCTAAGATTCTCATCGCCGTTTGGCGTGTCAATCTTAGGGATAGGGATACGTTCGAGGCTGTTATTTTACCTCGTCGCACATGGGGTCCTCCGAGGATGTCCAGCGAGCGGCGCCCTTGCTGCCACTGTGGGCGACCCTTGCCCACTCAAGTGCCAGGTCGCCACGGGGGGCTCCTCCTCCTCCTCCTCCTCCTCCTTCTCCTCCTCCTCCTCCTCCTCCTCCTCCTCCTCCTCCCTCCCTCCCTCCCTCCCTCCCTCCCTCCCTCCTCCCTCCTCCCTCCTCCCTCCGGCCGAAGGGTGGCCAGAGCTTGTGCGGCTGATATTGGTCTCGTCACACATAGGCTAGCTGGTCTATGGCGCGCGTGGCTGATCTTCGAGGGTGCCGAAGAGGTCGCCCACCTTGTCCTGGGACGTAGGAAGCGCAAGCTCGCGCCGCTGCTTGGCTTATTCAAGGACGCGCAGGAGGCGCTCTACAGGGCGAAGTCGAGGAGATGTGCCTGAGTGGCAGGACTTTGCGATCGCGAAGTCTGTTCTCTACCTCGGGGCGCGGCTCGGTCCCGCCGTCGCTCTCGCGACGTCGCGGGAGAATCCGTTCCTCAAATAAGTCGCTCGCGCTCGTGAAGTAGTTCGTCAGAATGCCGCAGCGTCGCTCGCCGCCTTCGAGTATGATTCCAGGGTCCTCTCGGTCTTGTCCTGCGCATGGCAGTTGCAGCCTCTCCCAGGACATCTTCAGAAAAACAAATTCAAGCTGCTCGCGAGGCCGTTTACCCCTCCCTTCTGCAGATTGACATAAACTGCTCGACCGAATCCAGCGAAGTGGGGCGGCCCCGCCACCGAGAGCCTGAAGCTGCTGAGCATGGCCCAGTTAACTTGGGCTGGTCCATATACCTTCGATTCTTGCCAAGCGTGTGATCAGCGCATGTGTGACGCATCCTTGGAACATTCATCGATGGTTGGGGCCGCGCAAGGAAAGCCGTGGCCACCGTTCCGGAGCGCCCCAGCGTGCGCCGCTCATCTTCGCGATGTTGCTGCGGGATTTCCCCGTGTTCCTGCTCTCCACTCTTCCTTCCAACCTGCGATCACCGACCCCAAAACGTATCGTGATTCTCGTCCCCACATTCCCCGCAAAGCTCTTCATCCTCAACGGTTCATTCTCCAGCACGTCACTCTCTCTGTCCTTCCCGACCAGCTCGAGGCTCTGTTCGCCAAGAGGCTGCGAGAATGGCCCCCTGGCAAAATCGAGGAAATATCGGCCATGGATTGGGCGCTTGTGAGAGCGCAGACCCTCCTCCTCATCCTCCCTGCCTGGAGCTCAGAATTAAAAAAACCTGGCGCGGTGGGTACGTGGTTCCGTCGGAGTTCCAGGAAGATGCAGAATGTTACTTTTCATGCTCGTGCAGGTGCAACTTTAGACATGTGTGGTGCTGTCCTCACGGCCTCCTTTCCCCTTACCGCGAGGCCCTCCTTTCCAACTATACATGTCTGGTGTTGCATCATGTACGTTGTAAGCAGACAGAGCCCATCGCTCCTGCGAACCAGCAGGCCATAGTCAGGTGTGTCCGAATTCAGGTGGCCGGGCCATCGGCTCGCAGAGGTTGACCATCCAGGACCACTGCTCTGGGCACAATCGAGGGGGAGGAAGAGGAACGGGAGGAGGAGGAGGGGCGGAAGGAGGGGGGTGGAGGAAGAGAGCGGGACGTGCCCATTTCGTGTGGCTGTGCGAGGTGTTCGGGCCTTCCCGCAATGGAATTTCGGGACACCTGGAGGAAGACGGAAGAGGAGGAGGACGAGGAGGGGAGGACACGGAGGAGGAGGAGCAGGAGGAGGAGTAGGAGGTGGAGGTGGAAGAGGAGGAGGAGGAGCAGGAGGACCACTGTAAACCCAAGAGTCATCAACGATGTTGGAATGAACCCTCCCGCCAAGCTCCCTCTTCATAGGCCCCTCCAACGGTTGATTTACATTGAGGGAACTGCCTCGTTGGGAGACAGCCGTTTGAAGACCTTAAAGCCTGCCAAAATATTGTTTCCGGGATTTCAACGCCACGTATCAACCTGACTGCTGCGTCCTGGCGATCCGGAGTCGTGCCAGAAAGCCATGTGTGGGATTTCGACACCGCGAATCAGCATATTTGCTGCGCCCGCGTAATCCTGAATCACCCCAACATACCATATCTGGTACGTTGACCGTGGGAATCCGTGAAACTCTTCCCCATGTTTGAAACGTGTGTGCGCGGCGTTAACGCGAGACCCACATGTTGAAAGGAGCCGCCTTCCATCTGGGAAGCTCGTGCACATGTTTACAACGAATGTGCGCGGCGCTAAGGCGAGAGCTACATGTTGAACACGACCTCCATTCACTCCGTGACGTTCTCGATAATTTTTGTAAAACGAATGTGCGCCGCGCTAAAGCGAGACACACATGTTGAAAACGACCCGCCCTCAATTCCGTGAGATGCTTGTTTTTCGTTTAACGATTGTGTGCGCAGCGCTAAGACGAGAGCCACATGTCGAAAACGACCCGCCTTCTATCCGTGAAATGCTAACACGTGCGCGTCGTTGGGGCGAGAGCCACATGTTGAAAACGTCTCGCCCTCAACCCGTGAAGCTCTTGTAAGTGTTCAAAAGAACGTGCCCGAAGGAGAAGGAGGAGCATGAGGAGGAGGATGAGGAGGAGGAGGA